ATTTTTACTGACCGTGGCCGGCTGTCAATCGCGGTTCCCGACTGGCAGTCAGAAACGGTTGGAATTTATTAATGTAAAATTATTTCAAGGAAGTTGCCGTTTAAACGTTAAGTTTGTCCGACGTAGTGAATAAAAGGATCGTTTTAACGTCCAATTTTTCTGATCGTGATCGGTTGTCAGTCGAGGTTCCCGATGGTGAGTCACACACGGTACGGAATACTAAACGTGAAAATGATATTGTATTAATGAAATGAAAATATTCAAATTTCATTAAGCATGAAAAAGAGACCGTTTTCACGTTCACTTATACTGGTCGTTAGAGACACACAGTCGGGAACCTCGATTGACATCCGAACACGGTCGAAAATCTCTGCGCGTTTAAACGCGTTTTTTCATTTTTTTGTCTGCCTGGGAAATAGGAAAGAAAATAGTCCTCGATACTTGATTGATGTGTACTGAGAATTTCTAATGATTTGATTGCTATCCATCTCAATATTCCAAAGGCAACAAAAGATAAAAATTTCAATATATGTACTACTTTATGTAATCTACAACACAATATTTTATAACCAGTATTTGGAAATTGTGACATGCAAATCTATGTTTTCCTAGGCGGTGGCTAGAAAATCAACCGAAAATAATAGCGAAGTTTTGTTGACTTTATTTGATTTTATCCAAAAGAAAAACTAAAAATGTACTTACGATGAAATTTTGAGAGTTTTCGAAACAGATTTTAGCAGACAAATGCATTTTGAACATATATTGCTTCAAGGTTGTTCTCAGACAGAAACTAACTTTTCGGATCTTGTTTGATTCAAAATTAAAACTCAAATAGTAGTTAACTTTCTAGCTCTTGATTAGTTCTCTGAAGCAATCTTGTTAAGTAGAAGATTCGTAGTATAAAGCTGATCATTAGTTCCAGTTGTTCAGTTAAGATCTTGATGAAATCTATGTTGGATAGAAAAATAATTTTAGAACCTCTTCTTCTACCTGATAAATCATCAAAATGCCATTTTTTTCCCGAATATTTTTGGCAGTATGTTTCTTGTAGTATTTTGAAAGAGAATGTTTGCATCAATGAAATATGGTAACTTTGTAGTTCAACGGATACTGTATTGTTTTTTGAAATGTGACTCAGTTTGAATGGTGAAAGTGTTCCGAACTTATCATCAAAATTCTGAATATACCGGTTTTTAGGAGCTAAAACGAAACTTAAATCACTATTTCAATTCATATTTTCTATCGATAAAAAACAAATCATGTAATAATACATTGTTGGACTTGAGGATGATTGTGGCTAGACTGTTTTATTGAAATATAAAATTTGAGAATCTCTCCTTATGTATTGAGACACATTCTATCTCAAACGTAACTATATGTGGAAATATAAATAAAAGCAAATTAGTTAAAAAGAATCATCTATCATTAAGAATAAATCTAGTTTTTCGAATTAACTTAAACTGTCAGAGTTAGATTCTACTTTGAACTTCGCCATGAAAGTTAAACTAGAATGGATAACAAAAAAAACTTGACATCATTAATATATGCTACTACCATTCGTCACAGAATGCATTGAAGTGATATATATATATTCACCATTCTGGTATAACAAGGTTCGCATAAAATAGTGAAAGTCGAAGTATGCAACAGGTGTTTATCTTATAATTGAAGTATATCATTTTAACATTGATTGTTGAAGTTTAGAGTAAAACTTGCAAACTCAATAAATCTATCAAAATATTTTAAACTTACAATACCATTTCTAATGAGTATCGATTACTACACAAGACAGTCGGACTACAAACTTTAGCCTGCATGGCCTGTAGACCGTTAGACCATGCTGTCAGCTATCGTATGTACAACCAATGTGTACGAATAAGTCAAAAGAAATTGAGAATCAGAGTAATATATGAGATAAAAATAATCATATAATACCCACCGATGCATGGTTCCAGATATCAGAAATCAATCAAGTTGAAATATATTAGATTTTACTGACAGAAGTAAACTGAAACTTTTTCAAAGATATTGTTTTATTCAAAAAAAAACAAAAACCGTAATTTATTTACAATGTAAAATTCTTTTCGGAGTTGCTATAAGTGAAGATTTTTTAGTGATCAGTTTCAATTTCAAAATGTCAAAATATTTGATTCAATGATTGAAGTTACACAATTGCTTGTGTGAAGAAGTATGTTTTTTTCAAAGGCTGACGAAAAAACAAAATGAATCATGTTCATTTGTTCATGTTCATCCATCGTTCGCAATTATGAACAGTTGTTGGATTCATCCATGAGTATCTAATCATATTTCTGGAAAAGTTTTTTTCTTCGACTTTTATCTACTAAGTTAGGTGCAAAAGTATTACTCTGCGAAAAAAATTGTGACCTCGAAAACAAAAGTGTTGAAGATATTGGTGGTTTTTTGAGAAAATTAAAGCAAAAACTGGCATTGAGACGATGAAGATCCTACCCTACTGGGTTCTTCTTCAGATTACGCATATTCTCTGCATACATTGACTCAGCGGCGTAACCAGGATTTTTAGGCGAATGGGCAAGTGTTTTATTGGAAGGCCAAAAATTATTTGAGCCAACAAAGTACTGATAAGTTTAGACACAAATACAGTCATTAGATTTTGAACTCCTTCCTCCATGTCATCACTTGTCATTTTTTCGACTCTTCAAATAAAAAAAAGATTTGCAGAAGTAACTTATGCCAATTTCCCAATCGGTAAACCTCCAAATGAAATGGGCAATCGCCCATTTGCCCTCTCCTCCTTGGTTATGCCACTGCATTGGCTAGCATAGCACTGTATGAGAATGATGGAGTGTGCGTAATCTGAAGAAGTACCTTCTACTATGTTTTGAGGAATGTGCTTTTTTGAGCTTTTTTTTAACTTAGTTAGTTAGGAAAGAGATGAAAAGTACCATCTGTCAAACAAATTTTGACTTCAAATGTAAAAATGTTCAAGGTCTTGATCATTCTATAGAAACATTATGTAGCTGACAGTTTTCATCAAAAATTTCTATCTAGCAAGAATCAGTACATGAGTGATGTAGTAATTCTTGCTAGACAAAAAATTTCTGACAAAAAACTTAATAGGAGAAAATAACATTATGAGTGTATACATCGTTTCTACATAGGTGTACCGACAGCATGATCTAGATCTTGAATATTTTCACAATTGCGATCATCATTTGTGTTCACAAATAACGCTTTTCGATCACTTTCTACCTAACTAAGTCAAGAAAAGTCTAAGAAAAAAAAATTATTTTTACAACAACTAGTCGGATACTTCTGAATGTACCCGAATATGAGTTGTTTCATTCGACATCTGCGGTAGAACAAAGACAACGACAATTTTAGATATTCCGTTCTCAACACAAAGATAACTTTTAAAGCAAAACAACCAAATGAAAGTACTTAACAAACAAGATGCCAAGAAGATTGATGATGCAATTCTTCAGAAATGCTAACCTTTCAACGATAATGCTTGAACAAGAGACTGGTGCTAGAGTGTTGCATTTCAAAGAATGCTTTTTAAAAAGATCTAGAGTTAATGATTCTCTAAAAAATATCGAAATTTCAACCAAAAGATTCTTGCTTGTTATTTTCCTTGAAACTCAATGATCAGCATAACTGCATTTCATCATAGTTTCTACGTGAGAAGGACATCAGACATGTTGGAAAATTATTATTTATGAAAGAATCTTATAAATTTGAAGTCGAATATAAAAAAGAGAATGATCAAACTTGAGAGCAGAATAAAAGACTAATAGATATTTGACCGAAACAACCACCACGAGTAATTTTGAATTCAGCAAAATATTCTAAAACAAAACAATCGTTGTTAACAAAGTTGAGAATTTGACTAAAAAGGGTTTCTCGTCTTGTAACAAAATTCGATTTCTATGAAGAGAAAATTTCTCTCTCTTATTTTAATAATTTTTCTTGTGTCTATTTTAGGCTATCCATTACGTTCTCCATCCAGCACCAACATTCATCCGAATGCTCGATGGCAACAAAATGGTATCACTGTAGCTGGAGAAAATCGACAAGGCAATGGAATCAATCAACTCTCAGACTCATGGGGTTTGTATGTTGATGATGATCAAACAATCTATGTTGCTGATCAATCAAATCATCGTATTGTGGAATGGAAACGAGGTGCAACAAGTGGCCAAGTGGTTGCCGGTGGAAATGGACAAGGAAGTGGAGATCATCAATTGGATAACCCATATGATGTGATTATCGACAAAGAGAGAGATAGTCTCATCATATGCGATGGTTCGAATAAAAGAGTGGTTCGATGGCCTCGTCGAAATGGGACAAGTGGAGAAACAATCATCTCCAACATCGATTGTTGGGGTTTGACACTGGACGAGAATGGATCTCTCTATGTCACTGATAATGGAAAAAATGAAGTGAGACGATATCGAAGAGGAGAATCTCAAGGAACAGTGGTT